CTTCCTTTTCTCTCCTTTCTCCAGGATACCTATCATTTGCACGTTTCTTATCTTTTATGTTTAAAACAGCATGCGAGTATGAATGGTTCTTGTGTTTGGTTTCGACTTTTCAAATCGATTAATGATTGATCCTGCGTTGAAGTTATTGGAATTCTCCTTTAGGCCTTTCTTTTGCGTCTCTTATCTGCATTTTAAAATGAAAAAGTTATGGGAAACTCTATGAATTAGAAGTTTTATTGCATATTGCTTTTGCCAACCGAGCATTTTTATTAAAGATTAATTTAAATGCAGTTAGACACGAAATGAAAATCCTTTACCAAGATCAATTTGAAAAGGTTGATATTTTTAATTTATAGCTAACTTATAATATATTTATTCAAAAATCGACAAGCGTTTTGTTTCAATTTGATACGATATAAACCAGAAACATAGAATCGTTTTAAGGACAAGACCTTAAACCAACTGAACCGATTTTAAAAACGAATATTCATGATTAAAAACGAAGACACGAATGATTCTTGCTTAAGGTGTCTCGTTGAAAAGTCATTCTGTCCTTCATTTTATTTGCTCCTTGCACTATTGAGCTTTACTCGTAACCGAAAATTCACCGTTTTTAAAAATCTTGATCCAGATACGTCATTCATTCAAATCTTATTTTTACTCCTTAAATCTTCTTTTTACTTCTTTTAAATGGTTTGTTTAACACACATTTTTGTAAATTATCTGTCTCTTGTTAAACTTTTCTTGTTCGCTCAGTTCAAATAGCCATACAGGTCCAATACCCTTAGCCTATTTATATTCATGAGTCTCATATAAATGAACAGTTTAACTTTATTCACAACATGTAGAATAACGGTCATGTATATACACAATAGCTTAGGCTACATACGTTTGATATTAAGTCAATGAGAAAACCTCCGTAGGAAAAACCTACTTGAACTGTACTATAGCCAAGTAATTTTCAATTCTGACTAAGCCTTTAAAAAAATTCAAAATTTCCGATTTTTCAATTTTTTCAGATATTGTGTCTTAAAGGAGATTGAAAATCCTAACCTGCGACTTGCAAACAAAACATATACCTGCTACCCTCAGACTGTTATTATTCAGAAAAATAACATTGATTTGATTCGGAAGAATCTCACAGTTTTCTTCCCTACAAACTCAAAAAACTTTCAGCACTCAATCTTCTGAAATTTGCATTATTGTTTGGGCAAAACCCGTCAACATGTAACCCGTCAATGCCCTTAATCTGTTACAAGTTGGCTTATTCCTCTTTGTTAAAATTTGTCTATGCGGTAGGCAAATGCTTGCAAGAAATACGGGTATTGAGTCAGACGAATGGTTTTTTGCTAAGCCTTTCATTTGCTCAACTGCTCAGTGTGTATGACATTTTCCTTAAATGATATCCGTTGCCTCCCATAATGGAGATGCATGGGTGGAATAAAGAAAGAGATCCAGACATGCTTGTTTACAGAGGCCCGCTTTTATTATTATAATAAAGGTCTTGTGGGTATCAATTTAAAGTAAAAATAGTATCTTTTCAAATTATTCTGTGCTGTATGGTGCAAAATATATTGACTGAGACTTAAATGCAACCCCGGTTGAAAGTAACTGGAAATCCCTGTTGCTTGCTTGGTGTTTGAAAAATGTCCGTTTTTTATATAAAAGACCATTATCTTCTTTCCCTAATAGCAATGCTTGATGTAGAATTCAATTGCAAAAATATCTGAAAGCAATATATGATCAAAAATGGAGCCATATGAAATTATACTGTTCTGATAGGGAGAGAGAAGGGTGCTATTGAGAATATGGCCAACTATTGGGATATGAGAGACTAGCAAGACTTTTGGACGGGATTGCTATAGTATTCTTTGTTAAGGAATCTTCAGAAAACCCTAGCAGTTGAAATTTGTTATCAGGTTTTTTCATGTTCTTGAATTACATTAAAAACATGAATTATTTTTTCACTAGCTTCGTGAGAACAGAACACAAATCAGAGTCATTTTTTAAATTAGAAATTTCCTTCGCATCCATTATATTTCTACCTGTACAATTTCTTGCCTGAGTTTGGAAGGCCTTCTATTTTACGAGTGACATCTGAATAAATTAATATAAATTATTAAGGTGATTAAGATGTATTAAGTTGTATTATATTTTGGTCTTCGTCATGTACCCTCCACTAGGGTGCAGTTCCATTCAACAGAAAATCTGCACGAATAACTAAGCTCTTTATGTCTCCAATGGTAAATGATGATTTGACTCTTTAACTCGTTTTCGCCAATTGGAAGCTAGAAACGTGCCTTGAATTACCTAGGTAGAATCACCAGCTGAAATTTCTCGATATTTCACAGCAACGAAAAGTGACAGATACCAATTTCGTATTAAGGAAAGCAGATCCTTAGGATTATAGGATAATCCCAAAGAGCCATCTTGTTTGTTTTCAGGCGAGGCATGTCTCAAAGGGTTGCCTCAGGACTCATGTCTCAAAGGGTTGTCATTGGCTAATTTTTTCGTTTTTATATCGTCTCTTTCAGTCAGAAACCAAGTGCACCTAAACCAACTTCTCTTCATTGTCCAAAATTGAACGAGCATCATTGCTTCCAGTCTAACCAGCCTTATTAAATGTGTGTAAAGTCATTTCTGTTTATTATATGTCTATACAGTTTTTTATATGTGAGCAACTATAGATTTATTTATATACTCTTTAGAATACACTTGGCAAGAAAGGTTATACAGGGAAATATGAAAAATTAGGATACTTTTACCTTTGTGCTAACAGGATCAAAGTTTGAATATGTAAGATGTGTAATACCTGTTAATCATAAGTAATTAATTGAAATAGATCAATGCTTTTCTTCATCATCTTAATTGATCTTTTCAAAAATTTAGGTTTTAAAGTGCATCCAGTTTGGTATTTCTTGAAAATTATTTGCAAGAAGAAAAGTTAAGCTTTCATAATTGTTTTGGTAAATTTTCAAAAAAATCATTGTTATATTTCTTATTCCTCTAAAGTGATTTAAGAAACATTCGATGCGATAATGATTATTTGCTGTTCAAGATTTTAAAAAAATGAAAGATGAAGATTTACCCAGCATTTCCTCTCTTAAATAATAGCTTAAATTTCTCCCTTTTGTGACAGTCTTGCCTATCAAAAAACCAATTCAAAAAAGGGCAGACTAAAGTCGTTCGCAAAAAGTCAGACAGACGGAAAATATCTGTTTTGGTTGGCATGTCCCTAAATGTATCTTCATGTGCTTTGGTCCTTTTCATTGATTGATTTTCAGTTTTTCATCCAAATTTTTGTTTTTGGATTTGGTAAAGATAGCTTATATTCGAGCTGGTTATAGCTTAGCAGGGACTTTTAATGTTCTTATAAAGGTTTATTTTCCTCTCAGTTGTCATGACAAAGGTATGACTGAACGTTTCTCTGTTAAATAAGCTGACGCTTACGAAAAGATCGTTAAGAAAGTACAAAATAAAAGACAAAGAACTAAGGAAATATGGGTTCCAGCTGGTCCATCTAGGTGACAAGTTCTTTACACAATACAGATTGTAACAATTCTTCAACTTTCAATTTGCAGCGTGATATTACTTAAAGTTTACAACAGTCAACATTTAAGCGTTTCCACAAATCCTTTTTTCTAGACCAAATCTAAAATATTAAGGCAAACTCGTGTGAAATTCATGGTATTTTCTTGTCTATAAGATGTGAAAGTCGTAGATGTGTAGACAGTGTAGACAAGGAAGTGTAGACAGGCTTCAACTGTTTCAATAAAAATGTTTTTCAATTCAATCGTTTTCAGCAAGGTTGGCTGATATCATGATGACTAGTTCATTATGATGGGATCCAGTGGCGTACCCAAGGGGGGGAATGGGGGGTCCGGACCCTCCCCCACTTTTCAAAAATATGGTCCTCGAGATTTGTCCAAAAAGGATGTAAAACTCATTGGGGGGTGGGTAGTATACTGTATGTTTGTGTCAAAAACAATTGTAAATTGCTTTGCTATTCTTCGTAGCTAACATGAATCAAATAGTGGAGGAAAATATATCAAAAAGGGCGTTTCCCCGCATTTGCGAGTGTTTGAAGGGCGTGGTCCAAAAAATTTCTAGGGGCTGCGCCTCAGACCAGGGCTTTAGCCCTGGATACGCCACTGCTGGGATCGACGAGTATATTGAACCAGAGTTATGAGTTTTTATAATGGGTTTCTTGTTAAACGATCAATAAGATGATGCTATTTTGATACAATGAAAATAGCATTATATTGAAAGCAAATATCTCATGTTGCTAGACCGCGCCTTTCAGATTTTCGTTTCAGGCTCCGCTGTTTTTGTCGCACTGCATGCTTTATTCTAACCTATTGGTGTTACCAATTTTCAAACAGGTTCAATTTTTTAGCATACTTCTTTGCTGTACGAAATTTTGCAACGTTTAAAATTAATGGGTTATGTCTGTCTACAGCATCTCTTTATTTTCACCCAGCAAGGTAGGCAGCGAGTAATGCGAATGTGAATAGTTGAATTTATCACTGTCACAAGGCTGATTGATTATCGAAATAGGTTGTTTATGTCAAGATTTTTCAACCGAATATTTACTGCTTCCTTCCGATGTCCTTATTCTAACCTATTTTGTGTTGTTTGCCTCCTCCTGAAAATGCCCACGCGTCTAAAGGCAAATTGAAGAGCTCACAATAAATGATCCCTTTACCTTCGTGAATCTTAGTTTCATCCTTGAGAAAAAATCACTTGAACAAAAGAAGATTCTCAATACGCTCGGCTGTCTTTCTATCTGAGTCCAGTCAAGCCGCTTGTGATCTTACTTCAAGCTTGTCCTCTCATAGCAACGAAGAGTGATGAAAATGTTTCTGACAAAAAATGACATATTTTCTGCAGATAAGAAAAAACTATTGATACCTGTTTTGATTTACTTAAGCTACAATCCAACTCTCTCTAACTTCTAAAAATTTTTGTTTTTGATTCGAAAAATATTCCTCCTTTCGCAGGATGTGGACAATATGAACAATGATCAATTCCAAAAAGCAAGAGGTTATAAATATGAGATTAAGCCAGTATTGCTTCAAAAATGTGAGTGTATTTGCTGTTCTTCAAAAACTTCGCTAGTTTTCTGTTTGTTGTAATAACTCTTCATTTGCTATTAGTAGACATCTTTATCCAGGTAATCCCATTGTAGCAAGGATTAATTTTAGGTGCAGTGATGACCAATTTGTGCAGTGCTGAATCGAACATGTGCAGTACTGAATCAAAAATGTGCAGTGATGAATTGAAAAATATACAGTGATTAATTTATTTCACTTTTTTGTTTGAAATACTACTGATTTGGATGTTTTCAGAATGAAGACAAATGAATACAAACTATCATCGAGAATCAAATGAGATAATGAATCAAGTTGCGAGTGGAACTCAACTTAAACCAACTTTAGCAATAAAAATGGGATACAGTTGGTCACTAACGCACTTCCTAATGTCGTTGAATTGGAAAATCCGAATGCCAGTTATACGACATAGCGAGACTCAGCCAACTCAGCACCGGTTTGCGCATCCCTTTGATATTTCACGTAGATGCATCAGTGCTTGCTGTTAGGTTTCATTGGCCATTTTCTACGCTATATAATAACCAAACAAATTATATCTTTATGTATCCACGTTTTAGCGCTGATTCATATTCTAAAAGTAAGCTGTGAAGACTCACTAAAAAAACAAGCATTAAGCATACTCCAGGATAAACTAACAAAACTTTATCTGAAACTTTATAGCATGCTTTCATATCTGCGAACAAAGTAAACGTTTCTATAGGATATAATATGTCTTCTGTCGGTTAAAATGTCTAAAAACTACGTTGCAAAGGCTTTTTCTCGTTTATTTCTTCATGTTGTGTCTCACTTTCACTTTCAAATACTTTGCGAAACCACTCTTTTGTCGATCTGCCTTTGTTGTATCCCTTACTCTACGATTTCGGTCCTGCAGAAAATAGTGAAAAGCAGGTCTTGGGTCGAACATGGTCAAGACATGCATATTCATGTTGGCATATAAATAGTTACGTATTGTTTCGCGTAGAATCCAGCTTTTGGCGTATGTCTTGCGGTAACTCTATAGAGAGACCAATCTCTCGCAATCTGCTGAATGTGGCTTGCACACCAGAATCCGGGCCATAACCTGTGCTACCTCTTTTTAGTGCTCCTGTCTGTAAAGCTATTTCAGGAGAGCCTTTGGGTTGCCCTCTTTACTAATATCGCTCTCTGAATGTCATTATTCTGGACTGCCAGTGACCGCAAATCAAGTTCTGGTGCACTTCGTTTCCCCCATTCCCAAAGAAATACTATAGTGACTCCATAGGGTGGAAGTGATGAAAAGCTTCCCTGTTATCAGGTTTGCTACTCTATCTTCTTTTGGTCAGGTTTGATATGTTCTGGTAAGTTGTATACATAGTCAGTGGTAGCTGTAGTTAGGCAAAAATACACTGAAAATGTCCCTGAAAATATTGTAAAACGTTTTTGTTCCGTCCAAAAGAGGTCCAGCCAAAACTTAGCCACACCCTTAGCCACATCTTATCTGGCCCCAAAAATCTGCAATTTACGATTTGTGCAGTGATAAAAAGTCCATAAATTAATGCTTGCATTGTAGCACAAGAAAACGATAAAAATTATAAAAGATTGTAGGTTTTCTGAAATCGCATCCATTTTAGGTTACTTTTTACATTAATGATACATCGTTTTTTAAAAGAGAGTTTATTAGACACCATTAAGATTTGGTTTTGGTAACAAGTTATTACTAAAACCTTAAACACAAAATTCAAACTCCAAATACCCTTCCCATATGGAAGCTTTTTCTTAACCAACAGTTGTTTTCTTGCTGTCTGACCCGTTATTTCATTTTGCGGTTGGTGCATGACTTAAAACGGGCCAATCTTGTTGGCCGTTCAAAGATTACTAGACAAAGTCATACTATATTATTGGATTCTTCTCAAAGCTCTTTAGGTTAAGAAAATTTCATTTAGTTTGTATCGATACCTTAATATAATGCTGTCTTATTAGCCATTATAGTTTGAATTAATTAGATAAAATCAGATTTTTCCTAGGATTTCGGTAGGGTAAGAAAAATCAGAAGTTTGTTTTCGAGCAATCAATGTTATGAACAGAAGGAAATCCTTTTATAATGTTCACTGTATTAGAAAATCAAATTATTGAAGTGTTTTTAATAATTTGATTTTCAAATCATGAATCAAACGACTATTTAGAACAATCTTTACTGCATTTTCAGCACTAGAGCAACTAAAAACACCAACAACCGACCAAAAGAAATTGATGGTTAAAACACTATTTTCCTTCCTTATAAGCTTCTTCTTCTTTAAGGTTTTATCTTGCATGATCCTAATAAATCTTTGAGCTACCAATCTAGCTCAACATCACAAGACGTACTTTATTTTTTTTTTATTTTTTAATTCAGTATTCAAGCCAGGGGTGTTGTGGCTTGGCGGGGCACTGGGGGATTTCCCTGTGGGCCCCTTTCAAGCGAGTTTGTAAAATCCAGGAAAATATTTCATGCGAAAACAATCCTTGGCCAAAAAATCCCTCACTTACATGCAGACTAAAGTTCATAGTTTAGAATTAGAGACTTGGAGGTCAACAGATACAAACAGGACCCTGTGATAGGGATGTGTGAAATATGAACAGGGCCACTGAAAGGGGGACAGAGAGGGGCAAGCTGTCCCAAGGACTCGAGGTCTAGGGGGCCTCTTAAAGTAAGGAATTCCATTTCAAGCACTGAATTTTAACGAAACGTCACAAAGTGTGCCTGAAAGATCGTAAAACGTGGTAAAAGATTATAATTAAATCATTGCAAGAAACTAAAACTAATTCAAAGGGCGTGGTCACAAAAATTTTCTGCGAGCTTCGTTCGCATTGCACGGAAGTTCTCTGTCCCATTTGTGTTTCTATCAAGTGTGCAATACAGCAATGGCTTTGTTCCTGTCTTAAAGAGACCATTGTTAGGGAAAAGGAGACACAGTCCTATCAAAAATAGCAGATGAACCTTTAAAAATGATAAAAACTGGTATCTTTTTAATATTTCATAGGTGCATGATTTCCAGGTACGTACCATTTTTGGTGACTTGTGTTTGTGAATAATATGACATACAAATGAAATGTCATACAAAAGAGCGAGCCCCTTTATGGTCATTTACTACCGGCCTTTTTCCGGGAGCCACGACGACCCTGATTCAAGCAATACTGGTTAGCGTTTACAACGCTTGTTACATGATATATGAAGATAATTAAGGCCTCCCCCCAAACAAAAAGCTGTATTTCTTTGGCAGAAAGTGAAATTTTAAGGAATTTCTTTGCAAAGATTGATAGTTTGGTCGAATGCATTTTTTAAATAGGTTTCTGGCATTTTCATTTTTAAGAGAGGAATTGCAACCTATGATTTAACAGTATCCGTCTGTATTGGTTTGATAAAACTATCAGGCTTGATCTTTAAATTTCGTTTCTTTGTCTGCACACTTGCACTTTTCATTACCCTGGGTGCCAGAGACTCCAAAATTTAGTTTCAGAAATATATTTCAACTCTAGTCACAGCGGCCTATATTAACCTGCCCCCAGTTTCTGGTCCTTCAACATGAGAAATATGTTAAAGAATGCCAAAATCTGATTAAAAAGTTCTAGTAATTAGCTGCTACCAGACTTTTATAAACCTTCAAAAAGTACTTACAGTTATGGTCTAAAAATTCTAATAAGCAAATTAAACTCGAGATGGAATTCTAATTGCTAAACTATATGATGAATTTGCCGGAATATTTTGATGATTGCTTTCAAAGTCAGAAGTGGATACAAAAATAAAAGTACGAGAGAAAATTATAGGAAAGTAGTTTGAACCCAAAACAGATTGATTTTCAAACCATATAACCCCATAAAAAACATGAAATGCTTGACCTTTTGGCTGAACCTGCCCCAAGTAATGTCTTATTAATCAACCATGTTGCTTTTGTTCTTAGTTTTATATAAAAACTACTATTATTCGAAACACGAAAATGCTTAATATGAGGCTCAAAATGACCGCAGGTATTCTGGTAGCTGGTCCGTTACATAATGAACAACTGAACATGAATTCGATTTTCTCTCCAGTCCCCATGTTTAGTGTAGTGGAATTAGATATAAAAACGGTCTAACCCGGATAAAAATAATATAAAGCTGTAATTTGGCACAGATGTTCTATACTTAGTTGGAAATGACCAGAAAAAAAGCCTCATCAATTGGATATTGGGAATTTCTTATTTGGGCAAATACCATAATGGCGCACTGATCAGTAGTGGTTCAAAATGCTAATGTTGCTAAAACCACATAGTTTATACATTTTTTGAAAGATAATTTCATGCTGAATAACTTTTATTTAACATACGTACCCTTAGAATATGCAAATTTAGTGGTGATTGGGCAGAAACAAAGTGGGACGAGTGAATATTGAAAAGCGCGCGGAATAAATGGCTGATTCTCTTGCTGAATATTTTCATTTGATATCGCAAATTCTATCGATGCAAAATCATTAAGTGTGTGAATAAGATAAAGTATGATAATACCCACTCAGCCCGGGCTGACTTAAACCGAGCCCACTCAGCCCGGGCTAACTTAAACCGGGCCCACTCAGGCCGGGCTGACTCAACCCAGGCCCACTCAGCCCGGGCTGACTCTAGTGACATTTTTTCGCTGCAGCAGCAAATTCCGTTCAAATCTAAATAAATATCTAAATATTCAAAACAAAGTAACTGGCAACCGAACGGTCCAAACAACATGATTTTTTATTATAAACTAATTTAAAGATGAAGATTTCAATTCTGAAAATTTTTTAATTTTTCATTGACATACTCCATCTTAGTAATTTTTGTTACTAAGACATGAAAAACATTACCAAATTCAGTGCAAATTCAAAGTTCCTGCACAAAACTACAGCTTGATGCTGGGCCAGTAATATTCCCTTTATGCCCTTCTTTACCAGAAAAAGAGATATCTTCCATCCCATATAACCCCAAAAATTGCAAACTTTTCAATTGAGAAGTGCCCACATGAAAAACAGGGTGTTTGAGAGTACTTAGGACCCATAACCCGGAAAATAGTTATGAAAAACGGAAAACCCGGACTTGGAAATTGAAAAATCCTGAGACAAAAATATATACTTCAACGTGGTTCACCTTTTCCCGTGTTTTGCATTAAAAGACCTTCGTACACGAAGTTATTACCAGTAAGAATATTTGTCTGCAAGGCACAGGGTAGATCCTTGCCTTTTTTCTCCAAATGAAGATGCCATCAGTGTTTGCGGAAGAGCAGAATTTTAGGGAAATTTGTCGTAGATTGCGGAAATCTGGCAATTTCTCAACTGAACGAGGGAATTCTACACATTTGCCGGACGCAGATTTTCTCAAAATAATTCACGGATTGCAGAAATTTCAAAATGTTTAGCGGGATTCTTAACCTGCTCCTTGTTGGATAGGATTTCATCATCTCGTGTTTTGATCTTGTTAATATATAAGTTGTTCATAAATAAACTTATATACATTCAGAGGTGGCGCTAGAAATCTTCCGACAGAGGGGCTGGGGCTTCCAACAGGGGGGCTAAATTGACTATAATATGCAGTTTTCGTACGTTATTTTGTCGAATTTGCTCCGACAATAACCTAAAATTTTCTTCCGACAGGGGGGCTAGATGCTTCCGATGGAGGGACTGTAGCGCCCTAGCCCTCCCCTGGCTCCACCACTGTATACATTCTATTGCCCAGTTGCCCCCTATCTGCTATTTTTGACCAGAAAGTACTTATTTCCACATTGTAAGGGCGTGTATGTTGAATAAACGTTGTTCAGCATGAAACTGTCTTTCAAAATTTTAGTGGTTTTAGCGACATCAAAATTTGAACCCCTGCTGATCAGTGCGCAATATGGGATTTGCCCAAATAAGAAATTCCCAATGTCCAATTGATGGGGCTTTTTTCTGGTTATTCGTATGGATCGTATGGTATCGTATGTATGGAACCTATGTGCCAAATTACAACTTTTTATTATTTTTGTCCGGGTAAAATCGTAATTCCACCACACTAGTTGTCTTCAGCTGCGTGCTAAATGAATGTAGGGTGTAGCCCTCCGTGTCTCACAGGCTTTACTTGGTTAGGTTAACGTGCTTATACAGTAGAAAATTTTAACACAGCTTCTTAATTAAAAACTCTTTGAAATCTAGAACTTTGATTATCTTCATAAACTATTTTTGCGGCTAGTCCACAACTGGTCAACTCATTCGCCATATATGACTCTGTCACCTTGGTTACATGATTTGCTCATCACCGCGAGTTCATCGGGTTGTTCCTTAAACCTCATTTCCATAAGTTTCAGGCAAAATTTCTCTACGAATGGTTTTTATTTCATTAATCTATAAGAAGCCAAGTTATGAGCAATGTACATATGTTCAGACTTAGTATTGCTCATTAGATTGAAAGGTTCGCAATAAATTCACTGGAGAACTGCAGTTGGGTGAAAACAAACTTTTTACAGCCCTTCCATTTCTGGTGTACTCACGGGCTCAACCTCTATTTATCATATCTCATGCATGAGCTCCGTAAATTTCACCCCAGAAGCACTATCTCAGCAAGTGATGTCTGTAAACCTCTAAATAGGCACATATAATCAAAGGATGTTTTTCTTCTTTGGCAAAGTTGTCATTCAGAACATCCTAACCTATATGATACCCTATAAGAAATTTATTGGCTACTGAAGCCGACTGAAATCAGTGTTTTGAAAGTATAAAAGATACAAAATCTGTAATAATGTTCTAAGAAATGTTATCAATAATTCTTGTGAAAAAGCTTTTGACGTCACATCTTTGTTTGCTAAATTGTTAAGGGCATGAAAAAGAAATAACTGAAATGAGAGTATCTGAAACTGTTCTTATATTTGAATTACTTCCAATATATCCCAGTAGAGCCGAGTCGCTAAAGTTTAAGAGAGAGGCTGCTACTGTTAATTAGAAACAGTTTCTTAAAAAACACGAATATCAAAAATTACTTCACAAGGCATCAAAGAAGACTCATTATGAGGTAGAAACCAATAGTACATTTAAATTGGAACTTAATAGCTACGAAAATAGAATTTTTGGAAAATTGCAAGTATCGATTCCTCAAAAACCTTGCAGTTTGAAAAAAAATTCTGGATAATTCAGAGTTTTCTTTGCATAGCAGTTGGCCTTCTATCTACATTGAACTTCTTATGCTGCATAATTGTTTAACACTGCTAAGAGAAAGCCTTGTTGAAAATTCTTTCCAAGGCTTGTTTTAACACAACATAAGATTCACGTACTAATGAGCTGCCTAAAAGACCTAAGAGAATGTATCTTCTTTTTGGCTTCTAAATCCGATATCATTTATTTTGTCCCTTTTTCTGGGCTCTGAAAATATTTAAATTTCTGGTAAATATAGGCCTAGCTGGTACTTAAAGCCTGGTTTCCATATAGCCGTAAGGCTGCCTGCGGCTGCCTGCGACTGCTTTCTGCCATCTTCCATCATCCATCCCTACGGTATCGCCGGCAGATAATTCTTTATGGAAACGCTTTTTAACGGTACCGCAGGCAGCTGTTTGAAGTGCCGTAAGACTGCCGGGAGAGCCGGGAGAAAGTTGAACGAGTTCAACTTTTCCCGGCTCTTACGGCAGCCTCCCGGTACCGCCGGCAGACAAATTACAAATGGAAACGCCTTGCCTGCGGCTGCCTGCGGCATTCTTTTGTTCAAACGGATCATGTGATGTGCAAGAACCAATTGAAACAGGGCTTTGTTGTTGAATTTTGCCCGCCAGTTTTTCCCGCTCAAACTTTACCTAGTTACCGGCATAGTTACCGATACCGCAGGCAATTGAAAACAGAACGTTTCCATTTGCCGGCGCTACTGTAAGAGTGGAAGATGGAAGATGGCAGAAAGCAGTCGCAGGCAGTCGCAGGCAGCCTTACGGTTATATGGAAACCAGGCTTAAACGGGCAGCCTTCCAAACTGAAAAACATTCTGCTAACCAGAAAACCGCAAATGATTTATCCAATATATGCCCTAGATAAGTTTCAATATGGTGGCAGCTCAACTTTGTGACCTTTCGATTATAGTTGAGAAGGCGAGGAATTTGACTTCGTAACATTATTGTTTTTCGCGAACGATTGAGGTCGGAAGGACCATCTCTTTATGTTTGTTTGCATCCTGTGTTTTGAGTTTTTGATTCGATTGGTCTAATCAATTAGACACAGCTAATTAATCTCAATGCATATTTTTCTTTGATTAAAATCTTCAAATCCATTTTCAGACGGACACACAAAAAGCAGATTTGAGAGGGAATTACAGGGTTTGGTATGTCCTGAACATCTCTGCTTTTACCTGTGCAACGAACAACCGGTAGAGACCTGGTGCTGCTTCTGCCAAAAGGGAGGTGGTAAGTGAAGCTTCTTTTTTACTAAACTACCTTTTTTGTTAGTATACCAGCGACAGATTGTGCTAAATGTGCTTCGCTCCTATCTCTGCTATCTTTGCTTCTTGGAAACAAAGTAGAACACAAAGTACTTGGTAACAGTTGCATTTATCTCTTTTCAAAAGAAACAGTGCGTAAGGGAGAGCGCCAGTGTTCGCGAAATGTTGCTTTTAATTCACTAATACTAGTGGGTATACATCTGAACATTTTATTATTTTGTTTGAATAAAATATCAATAGGGAGAATAGGCATTGGAAACAACTGTAGTGAAGACAAAGATATATCAGATTTTATTCGAATAGGCTACTAACGAACACAACTGTTTTACTGGTATCTCATAAAGAACTCGATATTGCATTAATTATGGTTTTTAAACTCAATAACGGTACCAAGTTACCTAAATATGATTTTTTCGTTTCTCATGGGATCTCATAAAATCCTTGGCACATAAATACCAGTGACCAAAAACATGAAAAAACAGTTTTTTTTAAACTTATCATTGATAAGCAGCGGTAAATACCAAGTTATTTCTATGCATGATTTATTATTTTACTAGCTTCTCCCTTTATACGAATTTTTATACAGAAATGAAAGAGAAACCGACTACCAATTATATTGTTTTTTCGTTCCGTGATTAAAGGATTTTCTAGTGAAAACGCAGCTTTTCAAGTTATATTTATAACAAGAATTTCAGAACCTTCTCGTGACCAAGATATTGGATGTTTTTCAACGATCCAGGGTAATATTTTTTCAGACAATGATACCTTCAAGCATGCTTCGAGTAGTAATATTTTCATGCAAGCGAGCTTCAGTCACAAACCACAGTCACGTAGAGCAATAAATTTAATTTCTTACTCGAGGAACGGCAGGAGGCAACACAACATTTAACTTTTAGAGTATGCAACTTTTCGTATATTGAAATGTGCAGGCCAATCTTTGTGTCCATGACAACAATAATGGGGGATGAAACTCCATAATGGCAGACTTTTGTTGACTTGAATGTCCATAGCGCCCTCTGATTTTCACATTCATGTGCATTACAATTTACCTCTTTGTTCATTTACCCAGTGCGCCGAAAATATCAAGGAGGCAGGAATTGTTTCACGAGACTGGTATTGATGTTATTTTCTTAGCCCGGAGCACGAAAAATGTCGATGGAAATATCAGTCGCTTACCTGACAGTAAGGCTCGGGTTTAGCGTCAGGAGAAATAAGTGTACAAATAAGATGAAGCATTGTAATTGAATTGAACCTCATCGTCGTCTTGAATTTAAGGGGAATCTATAATGAATCATTCAGCAAACGCCAAGGAATGCGAAAGAAAGACTTGCTGTTGAAAAGAACACTTGAATATTCCTGATAGGTGTAAAATTTAACTGTAGATGTCATATTGGCGGAGTCATTGCCACAGTCCCGTCCTAAACCCAGTGGCGGTTTCAAGGGGCGTCCAGGGGGCCATGGTCCCAGGACCCACACTTACTTTTTAATATTTTGTCACTTACTTATTAATATTTTTGTCACCGCCCCCTGAAAAGCAGTTCTCATGGACTGACAGGGCTACTGTGCCTAAATAAAAAAAAGTGTAATGTAATGTAAAATGTATGTAAAATGATAGACAAAAGGGGCCCCACACCCTAGTTTGCAACAAATACATGAAACCAAAATACACAAGTAAAAATCCGTTAGCGAAAATTTTGCCACTATGGGTGCTTGCGGATAAGCGGGCAACCTTTCACCTTCTGGCCAAGCCGCCCTCGCCCCTGCTTGGGGTCGATATTGCTTGCCCTGATGGCTGCTCTATTGTGTACAGAGCAGGAGTCTAACGGATAACCCGTGTGTTTTATGGACCTTTTCGTACCTTCTATAGTATACCAGGATTTTTCATTAGAACTTTAGACTAAACCCTTAAGTTATAATCAGGGTCGGTGGAGAAAACAAATAAACAATTCCAAGTTGCCATACAAAAATCTCCTTTTTCACAAATTTCACATTAGCAACCTTATTAAAAACAATTTCTAAAATATCAAACCAAAGTAAAGTTCAAAGCATTCTAAGATATTTTTGTGAACATTTTTTGGCAGCACGTACAAGGTTTAAAAATGGCTTTGAAAAGCCAACATTTCACAGCATACTGAAAGATTCTTTGTCTGACAATCCTCAGAGTACAAAACGTCAGAATAAGGTTCCGAAAGAACAAGATGGAAAATTTATCGAATAGGCCAATCAGAAAAACGCAATCACATGACCGGCCTGGTTGTCCAATCAGTACCACGTGCCTAGAGGGAATTCACCACTGGACTCCAAGAAAAAAAAACTCAATCTGTCTTACACAATAGCGACTTTTCGTTTGTATGTACAATGCCTGCCAAAAGTATTTGGAACGCCCAGCAAATTGCGTTCCATTTTATATCTTTCATCCCTTTCCCGAAAAAATTATTTCTTCCGCCCTCTTCCCCCTAAAACAATGTTGATAATTTAGAGAAATATCATAAAAGAAGCGCAAAAGAAAATGCTTTCTCAAATCCTAACCCGTTTCATAGTAAACCAACATTGTTCTGTAGGGGAGAGAGGGATGATTGATTATGACCTTGGAAATTAACGTCAGTGTTCCAAGATTTTTGGCAGGCATTGTAGATCAATTCCAAAACTGATAGATGAATAGACGACCGGGCTCTGCCAATTATTTGAAACATGTTGTTATTATAGATTTTGGTAAAACCAATGTTGTTTTAAAGATGTTTTCCGATGACAGAATCACTTGTTTTAACATTGGGGCTTATAGGAGGGGATTGGGGAAATTATCGGATTCACGGTAAAAGGGTTGGACGATCCCCACTCTCAAATAAGCTCCCATTTTACTAACTTTTACAATGCATGATTTGATCAATGATAAATCATCATAGCAATGAAAAACAAAAACATCAATGAACGAAACAATTTCACAGAATTTACTTGCAAAATGTTTTCAAAGTGAACTCGAAAATGATAAAACACTTGAACTGTTGGTATGGTGACTATCAGATAATTTCCCTAACCTCCTCTAAGTCTCAATTAAGGTCTGGAATTAATAAACCCCCAAAGGCTGGGTGGCTAATTGGAAGATATATATTAACAAGTTTTGATGTGTTTTTGGAGCTTCTGCCTTTGAGACATGCAGACATCAATGAATCTTTCTTATAACTTAATTTCTTTATAGAACTATCAAAATACTTATCGAACATTGATAGCAGCTATGATGAATGTACTAAACTGTTTGACTGGAATTAAGAGATTTCTTAATAGATAATTGTTAATAGGATGGGTTTGAAATAGACTCAGCGAACAGCACGGCGAGGGGCAAGGCAATTCACTACTGCAAATAGCGTAGGACATTTTCTCTAAAACAAAAGGATTTCCAGGGATTTTCAGACAAAACAATAGGATTTTCACCAAAGATGTACGAGATTTTTTAGAGTGGTTTACCTCTCGCTGCATGGCTTGGTTTTAAACGATCAGAACTTTTGACGAGCTAGTGAGTCTATGCTTGAAGCCAACCAAATCCCAGTTTAATTAATCATAGTGACAAGACAAGGTACCATATTGTGTATTTATCTATAGCTTGTAGTCGTCAACAATATTGTCGCACTTTAGAAAAAACAGTACCGACCAGCTATTTTTTTCGTCAGCCAGCTGTCAAGTAAATGGGCGTCACATCCCACACCATCATGAGCCATGTCCAAAAAGGATTTTTAGAATCTGACTGCTGATCATATAGCTGCATAAGCCTTGGTCTTCAACAAGGATTCATAAAGCTTGAGCCGCTACACAGGAACGTCACAATAAACGGGAGGGAGCCAGGGATGGTGCTCCTCCTCCAAAGATAGATTTAACGCCTGTTTCTTAAATCAGACCCACTTTTTAAAGATTTCTTGTCACACGAGGGCCTCTTGTGTAGTAAGCTTTCCTTCAACTGTAAATGTATCTGTCATCAAAGGTTTTCTTATCATATTGATTTTCAAATGATCAGAAAATCCAAGATCAGACCGATTTTATCAAGCTGAGTTAGATGGGTTTTCTGGTTCTCTATAAGCTGATTTAAAGAACCTGCACTTCTCGTTTCATTCTTTGAAGGAGGTGAACCGATTAAAGCATAAGGAAAATTTATTACAAAAAAGGAAATATTTGAACTAGAATAAAAGTCTCTTCTTTTTCGAAATTGTGTGCTGAATTTGAAATCTCGATTCAAAATCTTAAGAGACGTTAAACTTCTTAAGAATTTACGACTATACCACTGCACAGCCCATCTGCATCAGATTTCCCGCGATTGATTTCCTCCTTCACCTTATTCAGAACTCGTTATGAAAGGAAGAACCTGTCCGAACTTTAGAAAACGTTTGTGATGATGATTTGTCTTGTAGAGGCACACAACGTAACAGATTTCGCTCAAATCTGGAGGCGTTTAAAAGGAATGATTAGGCAGGATTATTAGTTGGTCTGCAATCTCTCTCTGTGTTACAACTTACTTAATGGACCACCCCTTAGAGACTGAAATTTTCGCAAACGACAGAGATTGCTGTAGAAAACACCATCCTTTTTTGAGCATATTGGTTTGTGCGGCGATGTACATAATTCAATCAAACATGGATGAATGGATTTATTAAAAGTGTTTATAGACCGAGTTGTAGCAAGTTTTCTTGTTTGAAAACACAATTTAGTTATAAGTGAAAAAATTAGTAAAGTTCTGAATTCAATAACATTTTTAATAATGCGACTAAGCAGATTATGTCATTTGCTTAGAAAAATATAAATTAATCAAAACCAATAGAACATTGTATGAGATTGATATCAATCTTAATACTTTCGTTTAGGCAAATATTCATAATATTTTGAATATGGAACAATCCCATAATTCCAACAGCCCAAATCCTTCCTGTAATCAACATTAGTTATATATTCAGTAGTTCATTGTAACGGTACAGTGATACA